GTAAACATTCGTGTGTTTTAATATTTAAGTGTTTTTTTAATTACTTAAGTCCCCTTAATAACAAATTTTGCTGCAGGCCTCGCACTTAGCTTCACCCGGCACGGGCTCCAGGTACTCGCTTGAGGCTGAGTCGACCTAGGGGAGGCCCCATGGACCGGTTACAAGGCCGTAATTATAATAAATATTGGGGAGGAGGGACACCCCCCTCCCCCCCAAATATTCAAATATGATCAAAATGTTTCCCCCAATATGTTGATATAAATAAATAATTGCTATGCTATGTTAAAAAACAATTTGCTAAACCTTGGTCAGAATATCGGGACTTGTTTTCATATAAATCAATGTAGATATTTCTGTTGATATGATTGTGGTTCTAGATTTGAAGCTTTCGTGAATGCAAGGATTCATACTCTTAGGTCTTTTTCGGTAAAGTCACGTAGGTAAAAAATTAAATATAAATTTAAAAAAATATATTTTATTATTATTTTATTTTTATTAATTAGGTAAAAAACATTAATTAAATTTAATAAAAATTTAAATAATATTTGTTATTTTTTTATTTTTATTAATTAGGTAAAAAACACTAATTAAAATTAATAAAATAATATTTTATTAGTATTTTATTTGTATTAATTAGGTAAAAAACATTAATTAAAATTAATGAAATAATATTTATTATTATTTTATTTTTATTAATTAGGTAAAAAACATTAATTAAAATTAATAAAAATAATATTTTATTATTATTTAATTTGTATTAATTAGGTAAAAAACATTAATTAAAATTAATTAAAATAATATGTTATTATTTTATGTTTATTAATTACGTAAAAAACATTAATTAAAATGAATAAAAATAAAATTTTATTATTATTTTATGTTTATTAATTAGGTAAAAAACATTACTTAAAATTAATAAAAATAATATTTTATTATTATTTTATTTTTCTTCATTTTAATTTCATTTTTTACCTACGTGACTTTACCGGAAAAACTCGGCGTATGATTGTGGTTATGTACTTTATGAATCCCTAATCTCTGCCATTACATACAATGAAACAAGAAAAGGTTAAACAGTAAAAACAGAGCATTGTAATACAATACACTATTAGACATTGTTGTACAAAATAAATAAAACGTCCATCCCATGTGTTAGTGCATTTTTTAATCCTTTAGGCAGGAAGTTCGTTTAAAAATTTAGATTTTTTTTCTGAAGGGGGGACTCCCAGATCCCCTGGAAGATTTCGTGCCCCCCAATGTTGAAGTTTATCGCTGCAAAGTATGATCTGTGTTTTGATTTAGTGCGCTGATCTTAAAGGTGCATTGAAAAATGTTGATAATCCAACTGATGCTTCTGCTGTTGTGGAGTGACTCATGCTGCCAGCTATGGCTGCAGGGTTTGGTGGTGGTACATGTTGTTTATGTCGTTTATTGTGAAAATTCCGTCACAGTTCCTATGATCACTGTTGTTTCATTGCTTTCATGGCTTTCTTTTGGTGATTTCAGAAAAGCTTTTTGGTTTGGCCATGTCTGTTTGTTGTAGTACAGAGTTAGACTGATGGCCTTGATCTAAGTTGTCTTGTGGTTGTTGTTTGTGTTGTTGTAGTACAGAGTTAGACTGATGGCCTTAATCTAAGTTGTCTTGTGGTTGTTGTTTGTGTTGTTTGTTGTAGTACAGAGTTAGACTGATGGCCTTAATCTAAGTTGTCTTGTGGTTGTTGTTGTTGTTTGTGTTGTTGTAGTACAGAGTTAGACTGATGGCCTTAATCTAAGTTGTCTTGTGGTTGTTGTTGTTGTTGTTTGTTGTAGTACAGAGTTAGACTGATGGCCTTAATCTAAGTTGTCTTGTGGTTGTTGTTGTTGTTTGTGTTGTTGTAGTACAGAGTTAGACTGATGGCCTTAATCTAAGTTGTCTTGTGGTTGTTGTTGTTGTTTGACTTGCATCCCACTGGGATTTTTGCACATTTTTGTGAACGGTGCTTTTTCTGCAACATTTTGCTGTCTTTTCTTGGATTTCTGTTTGCACTCAGTCACATATAGTCACTTGAAGATGTTTTCTTGTTCATGTTTTAGTTTTTTGTTTGTTGCGGTTGCACCCGATTCAAGAGCCGAATGGCTCACAGGGCTCTACACCAAATACATGAAATAATAAATGAACTTGAACTTAACTCCATGGCTAAGACCTTGACCGGTTCAGATAATCGTCACGTAGTGGTGATGGTGTTGGTGTTGGCCGTGAGCGGGAATCAAAATCGGGGGCCGATTTACAGCACGGAGGCGCTAACCGCTGCGCCACCGCTCCCCACCACCACCACACAAAGACAAAGATCCCCCGTGTAGGCTCGACAGACTTTTTGGGGCAAGTTCGGTTAGTGAGCAGCAGTAGCAGTGCCTAAGAAGGCTACGGGCATCGTGGCTACACGAGGGGGTGGGTGGCCAAACACCACCACGCCCGTCCGCCTTTGTCTCCCTCCACACATTTGAGGCTGAGTCGACCTAGGGGAGGCCTCAGGACCCGGTTCGGATAATGGTCACGTGGTGGTGGTGGTGTTGGTGGCTGTGAGCGGGAATCGAACTCGGGTCGCCAGGTTCGTAGCGCTGCAGCGTAGAGCTGGAAAAAAATGTTTAATTTGTCTGTCTGTCTGTGTTTCTACATCGTGATGTGATGGGTCTTTGTGGGATGAACGTTGATATGTATGAGGGGCAAGGGAGAGCCAATAAGGACTGAGTTGGTCTGTGATAAGATAGGCACTGATAAGGGGTTGACAGGTATGGTATAGACTACACTATACACTACACTATACACTACACTATACACTACTACACAATACACTATACACTATACTATACACTACACTATACACTACACTATACTATACACTACACTATACGCTATACTATACACTACACTATACACTACACTACTATACACTACACTACACAATACACTACACTATACACTACACAATACACTACACTATACACTACACTAACACTACTATACTACACACTACACTACACACTACACTACACACTACACTATACACTACTATACTACACACTACACACTACACTACACTATACACTACACTATACACTACTATACTATACACTACACCATACACTATATGATACACTACACTATACACTACACTACACACTATACTATACTATACACTACACTATACACTGCACTATACACTACACACTACACTAAACACTACTATACACCATACACTACACACTACACTATACACTACACTATACTAAATACTACACTATACACTACACTATACACTACACTATACTAAATACTACACTATACACTACACTATACACTACACTATACACCAAATTATACTAAATACTACACTACACTATACACTACACTACACACTACACCATACACTATACACTACAACACACGACACTATACACTACTATACACTACACTATACACTACTATACACTACACTACCATACATTACACTACTATACACTACGATACACTATACACTACACTATACACTACACTATACACTACACTACACTATACAATACATTACAGTAGTGTAGTGTATAGTGTGTAGTGTATAGTGTAGTGTATAGTGTAATGTACAGTGTAGTGTATAGTGTAGTGTATAGTGTAGTGTGTGGTGTAGTGTATGGTGTAGTGTATAGTGTAGTGTATAGTGTAGTGTATAGTAGTGTAGTGTATAGTGTAGTGTGTGGTGTAGCGTATGGTGTAGTGTGTAGTGTAGTGTATAGTGTAGTGTATAGTAGTGTAGTGTATAGTGTAGTGTGTGGTGTAGTGTAGTGTGTAGTGTATAGTGTAGTGTATAGTGTAGTGTGTAGTGTAGTGTGTAGTGTAGTGTATAGTGTAGTGTATGGTGTAGTGTGTAGTGTAGTGTATAGTGTAGTGTATAGTGTAGTGTATGGTGTCGTGTGTAGTGTAGTGTGTGGTGTAGTGTATGGTGTAGTGTGTAGTGTAGTGTATAGTAGTGTAGTGTATAGTATAGTGTGTGGTGTAGTGTATGGTGTAGTGTGTAGTGTATAGTGTAGTGTATGGTGTAGTGTGTAGTGTAGTGTATAAACACTGCACTATACACTACACCATACACTACACTATGCACTAGTGCTGTACTAGTACACTACACTACACACTACACTACACACTACACTACACACTACACTAAACACTACACTACACACTACACTATACACTACACTATATACTACACAATACACTACACACTACACTATACACTACACTATACACTATACACTACACTATACACTATACTATACACTACACTATACACTACACTATACACTACACTACACACTACACTATACATTACACTATACACTACACACTACACTATACACTACACTATACACTACACTATACACTACACTATACACTACTACACTACACACTACACTATACACTACACTACTACACTACATTATACACTACTACACTACACACTACACTATACACTACACTATACACTACACTACACACTACACTACACACTACACTATACACTACACACTACACTACACACTACACTATACACTACACACTACACTATACACTACACTATACACTACACTATACACTACACTACACACTACACTATACACTACACTATACACTACACTACACACTACACTATACACTACACTACACTATACACTACACTATACACTACACACTACACTACACACTACACTATACACTACACACAACACTATACACTACACTACACACTACACTATACACTACACTATAGACTACACTACACACTACACTATACACTACACACTACACTATACACTACACTATAGACTACACTACACTATACACTACACTATACACACAATGCAGAACCCCACCTCATGAATATTCATGAGGCGGGTGACGATACCAGCAGCGCCAACCAATCACCAGCGGCGCGAGGACACCGTCTCCATGGCGACGCGCGCGCGCGGTTACCATGGAGACTGAGGCTCGAACACAACAACAACAACCGTGCCAGGCTAGGTGCACCTTGAGGCTGCCACGTGAAGTGTCGAACGCCCGCTGGCAGGAGGAGGTCACGGGGCAGACCCAGCAGGTGCCACGGGTCGACTGACCGAGATGACCGAGATGACTGGCTGATGCACCACCTGTGCCCCCTACTGTGCCAACTTGCTGTGCTTTAGCCACCCGGCGCTCCGCTCGTTGTTGTGAGCGTCGCTCCTCCGCCCTCCGTTGTTGTTGGAGGGCGACTGCCTCCAACTGCCCAGTAGCCTCAAGGTGCACCTAGCCTGGCACTGCCTAGTAGCAGCAGTAGCGTCCTTCACGAGCCTCCTCCTCCACAGAGGCCGATCTTGACACTGCTGGTACCAGTCATCGGTAAGTCACACACAGACACAGACACACACACAGACACACACACACAGACACACACAGACACACACACACAGACACACACAGACACACACACACAGACACACACAGACACACACACACAGACACACACACAACACACACAGACACAGACACACACACAGACACACACACACAGACACACACAGACACACACATACACACACACACAGACACACACACACAGACACACACACAAACACACACAGACACAGACACACACACAGACACACACACACAGACACACACAGACACACACATACACACACACACAGACACACACACAGACACACACACAGACACACACACAGACACACACAGACACACACACACAGACACACACACAAACACACACAGACACACACACAGACACACACACACACAGACACACACACAGACACACACACAGACACACACAGACACACACACACAGACACACACACAAACACACACAGACACACACACAGACACACACACACACAGACACACACACAGACACACACACAGACACACACAGACACACACACACACAGACACACACACAGACACACACACAGACACACACACACAGACACACACACACACAGACACACACACAGACACACACACAGACACACACACACAGACACACACACACACAGACACACACACAGACACACACACAGACACACAACACACAGACACACACAGACACACACACAGACACACAGACACACACACAGACACACACAGACACACACACAGACACACACAGACACACACACAGAACCCGGGTGTTGTGATGCAGGTGTTGGTGGTGTTCGTGTTGCCACAGCGCCGGTAGCCTTCATAGACTTGCCCCTACAGTCTGTCACAGCCTACACGGGGGAGCTTTGTCTTTGTGTGTTCATAGGTGCTGCTGCTACTCGCTACCAACAGCACTTGCCCCTACAGTCTGTTGAGGCTTCCTGGGGGAGCTTTGTCTTTGTGTGTTCATAGGTAGCTGCTGCTACTCGCTACCAACAGCACTTGCCCCTACAGTCTGTTGAGGCTTCCTGGGGGAGCTTTGTCTTTGTGTGTTCATAGGTAGCTGCTGCTACTCGCTACTCACAGCACTTGCCCCTACAGTCTGTTGAGGCTTCCTGGGGGAGCTTTGTCTTTGTGTGTTCATAGGTAGCTGCTGCTACTCGCTACTCACAGCACTTGCCCCTAATTTGCTGGGTGAGTGTGTGAGTGAGTGGTTGAGTGAGTGGTTGAGTGAGTGGGTGAGTAGGTCGGTGGGTGGCTGAGTGAGGGGGTGAGTGAGTGAGTGAGCGGGTGAGTGAGTGGGTGAGTGAGTGAGTGAGCGGCTGAGTGAGTGAGTGAGTGGGTGAGTGAGTGAGCGGGTGAGTGAGTGGGTGAGTGAGTGGGTGAGTAGGTCGGTGGGTGGCTGAGTAAGTGAGTGGGTGAGTGACTGAGTGGCTGAGTGAGTGAGCGGGTGAGTGAGTGAGCGGGTGAGTGAGTGGGCGGGTGAGTGAGTGAGCGGGTGAGTGAGTGGGTGAGTGGGTGAGTGAGTGGGTGAGTAGGTCGTTGGGTGGCTGAGTGAGTGAGCGGGTGAGTGAGTGGGTGAGTGAGTGGGCGGGTGAGTGAGTGAGCGGGTGAGTGAGTGAGCGGGTGAGTGAGTGGGCGGGTGAGTGAGTGAGCGGGTGAGTGAGTGAGCGGGTGAGTGAGTGGGCGGGTGAGTGAGTGAGCGGGTGAGTGAGTGGGCGGGTGAGTAAGTGAGTGAGCGGGTGAGTGAGTGGGCGGGTGAGTGAGTGGGTGAGTGAGTGAGTGAGCGGGTGAGTGAGTGAGCGGGTGGGTGAGTGGGCGGGTGAGTGAGTGGGCGGGCGAGTAAGTGAGTGAGCGGGTGAGTGAGTGGGCGGGTGAGTGAGTGAGTGGGTGAGTGAGTGAGCGGGTGGGTGAGTGTGCGGGTGGGTGAGTGGGCGGGCGGGTGAGTGGGCGGGTGGGTGAGCGGGTGAGTGAGTGAGTGAGTGAGTGAGCGGGTGAGTGAGTGAGCGGGTGGGTGAGTGGGCGGGTGGGTGAGTGGGCGGGCGGGTGAGTGGGCGGGCGAGTAAGTGAGCGAGCGGGTGAGTGAGTGGGCGGGCGGGTGAGCGGGCGGGCGGGTGAGCGGGCGGGCGAGTGAGCGGGCGAGTGAGTGGGCGGGCGGGCGGGCGGGCGGGTGAGCGAGCGGGTGAGCGAGCGGGTGAGCGAGCGGGTGAGCGAGCGGGTAAGCGAGCGAGCGGGTTAGCGAGCGAGTGGGTGAGTTAGCGAGCGAGCGGGTTAGTGAGCCCAAGTACAACCTGGCAAAGCGTGTGTATCATTATTTTTACCACCGAAACAACAAAAGCCAAACGAGCATTAAAACAACATCACAGCAACAAACATCAACAAACAAACAAACATCACCCAACATCAACAAACAAACACACAGACACCAACAATCGAACACACAAACACACGCACCGCGTGTAGCGCCACCAAAGGCGACCACGTGTTCACTCCGTCACCTGTATCTGCAGGCGCCATCATGGATTGCGTCTTCATGGACGTCGCCATGGACGGCGAGCCGGCTGGACGCCTTGTCTTTGAGGTGCGCGGTTTGGTTTATTCTCTCACACACACACCACACACACACAGACACACACACACAGACACACACACACAGACACACACAGACACACACACACAGACACAGACACACACACACAGACATAGACACACACACACCACACACACAGACACACACACACAGACACACACACACAGACATACACACACTCACTTTCTCACACCCACACCACACACACAGACACACACACACAGACTCACACAGACAGACACACTCAGACACTCACACTCACTCAGACACACTCACACAGACACCCACACCACACACACAGACACACAGACATTCAGTCAGACACACACACAGACATAGACACACACTCACACACACACACAGACACACACATATACATACACACTCACATACACTCACACACACACACACTCAGACACACACTCACTCACACATACACACTCACACTCACTCAGACACACACTCACACTCACTCACACACACTCACTCTCTCACACCCACACCACACACACAGACATACACACATAGACATACACACACAGACATACACACACAGACACACACACAGACATACACACACTCACTCACACACATTTACTCAGATACACACTTACTCACTCTCTCACACCCACGCTACACCCACAGACATACACACACAGACATACACACACAGACATACACACACAGACACACACACAGACATACACACACTCACTCACACACTCAGATACACACTCACTCACACACACTCACACATACACACTCACACTCACTCACACACACTCACACATACACACTCACACTCACTCACACACACTCACACATACACACTCACACTCACTCACACACACTCACACATACACACTCACACTCACTCACACACACTCACACATACACACTCACACTCACTCACACACACTCACACATACACACTCACTCACACACACTCACACATACACACTCACACTCACTCAGACACACACTCACTCAGACACACATTCACTCACTCACACTCACTCATACATACACACACTCACTCACCCACTCTCTCACACCCACACCACACACTCACTCAGACACACATTCACTCACACTCACTCATACACACATACACACACTCACTCAGACACACTCACTCACTCACACTCACTCATACACACATACACACACTCACTCACACACACTCACTCACCCACTCACTCATACTCACTCACTCACACACTCACTCTTATTCACACTCACTCACACACACTCACTCACCCACTCACTCACACTCACTCACACACACTCACTCACCCACTCACTCACACTCACTCACACACTCTCTCACACCCACACCACACACTCACTCAGACACACATTCACTCACACACTCACTCACACACACTCACTCACCCACTCACTCACACCCACACCACACACTCACTCAGACACACATTCACTCACACTCACTCATACACACATACACACACTCACTCACACACACTCACTCACCCACTCACTCACACTCACACACACTCACTCAACTCACTCACTCACACTCACTCACACTCACTCACTCTCTCACCCACTCACTCACACTCACTCACACACTCACTCTTATTCACACTCACTCACACTCACTCAACAACAACAACAACCGCCATTCGCCACTAAGTGGCGATGACGTCACCACGACGCTTGTGCCAGGCCACGTGCACCTTGAGGCTACCACGTGAAGTGTCGAACGCCCGCTGGCAGGAGGAGGTCACGGGGCAGACCCAGCAGGTGCCACGGGTCGACTGACTGAGATGACCGAGATGACTGGCTGATGCACCACCTGTGCCCCCTACTGTGCCAGGCTAGGTGCACCAGGAGGTCACGGGGCAGACCCAGCAGGTGCCACGGGTCGACTGACCGAGATGACCGAGATGACTGGCTGATGCACCACCTGTGCCCCCTACTGTGCCAGGCTAGGTGCACCAGGAGGTCACGGGGCAGACCCAGCAGGTGCCACGGGTCGACTGACCGAGATGACCGAGATGACTGGCTGATGCACCACCTGTGCCCCCTACTGTGCCAGGCTAGGTGCACCAGGAGGTCACGGGGCAGACCCAGCAGGTGCCACGGGTCGACTGACCGAGATGACCGACATGACTGGCTGATGCACCACCTGTGCCCCCTACTGTTACAAAATAAAAATACACGTACACACACATACAACAACAAGCGTACACACGTACAAATACAAAGATCCCCCGTGTAGCCTTAACAGACTGTAGGGGCAAGTGCTGTTAGCGAGCACCTATGAAGGCCGGAACAGTACACGAGGGGGTGGGTGGCCAGCACCACGCCCGGCCGCCTTTGTCTCCCCAGTGGCGATGTTTACACACCGCACAAGGTACTCATTTGAGGCTGAGTCGACCTAGGGGAGGCCCAGGACCGGTTCAGATAATCGTCACTGGTGTTGGCCGTGAGCGGGAATCGAACCCGGGTCGCCAGGTTCATAGCGCAGCGCGCTAACCACTACACCCACCACTCCCCACACTCACACGTACACACGTACACACACACACGTACACACACACACGTACACACACACACGTACACACACACACACGTACACCCACACACACACGTACACACACACACGTACACACACACGTACACACACACACACGTACACACACACACACACGCGTACACACACACGTACACACACACACACGTACACACACACACACACGTACACACACGTACACGCACACACACACACGTACACACCCACACACGTACACACCCACACACCCACACACACGTACACACCCACACACCCACACACACGTACACACACACGTACCCACACACATACACACCCACACACGTACACACACGTACACACACACACACGTACACACACACGTACACCCACACTCGCACACACGTACACACGTAAACACACGTACACACACACGTACCCACACACACGTACACACACACCCACACACATACACACGTACACACCCACACACGTACACACACGTACACACACACACACCCACACACACGTACACACACACACCCACCCACACATGTACACACACACACACACGTACACACACACGTACACACACACACATGTACACACACGCGTACACACACCCACACACGTAAACACACGTACACACACACACGTACACACACACCCACACACGTACACACACCCACACACGTACACACACGTACACACACACGTACACACACGTACACACCCGCACACGTAAACACACATACACTCACGTACACACATATACACACGTACACACACACACGTACACACACACACCCACACACGTACAAACCCACACACGTACACACACACACGTACACACACACCCACACACATACACACGTACACACCCACACACGTACACACCCACACAGCGTACACACACGTACACACGTACACACACACGTAGAGACATACACACACACGTAGACACACACGTACACACACACACACGTACACACACACACACGTACACACACACCCACACACGTATACACACGTACACACACGTACACACCCACACACGTACACACACACACACGTACACACCCACACACGTACACACACGTACACACCCACACACGTACACACACACCCACACACGTATACACACGTACACACACGTACACACCCACACACGTACACACCCACACACGTACACACCCACACACGTAAACACACACACACACACGTAAACACACGTACACACACGTACACACACACACGTAAACACACACACACGTACACACACCCACACACGTAAACACACGTACACACACGTACACACACACACGTACACACACACGTAAACACACGTACACACACGTACACACACACACGTAAACACACACACACGTACACACACCCACACACGTACACACCCACACACACGTACACACACATGTACACACACGCGTACACACACACACACGTACACACACACGTACACACCCACACACACGTACACACATCGAGCGCTGTGAGCTCGTCCATGGGGTTGATGCGTTGACCTTTAGACTGACGCCGATTGACCCCCGGGCCGGTTTGCCTGTCGCCCTGCAGCTCTTCACGGAGCTCTGCCCCAGGACTTGCCACAACTTCCGAGCTCTGTGCACGGGCGACGGCTCGCAGGGTTCGCCCTCGTACAAGGGGTCACTCGTCCATCGCGTCGTGCCCAACGGGTGGATTCAGGCGGGAGGTGAGAGGGGGTGAGCGAGAGGGTGAGAGAGTGAGTGAGAGAGAGGGTGAGCGAGAGGGTGAGTGAGAGGGTGAGCGAGAGGGTGAGCGAGAGAGTGAGAGGGCGAGCGAGAGAGTGAGCGAGAGAGCGAGCGAGAGGGCGAGCGAGAGGGCGAGCGAGAGAGCGAGCGAGAGGTTGGGGGTTTACATGAAGCAAAGTTATTATTTAAAAAAAATTACGAAATTATGAACGAAGCAAAGTGCCGACTCCACCGAGCATCTTCTTGTTTCCACTGATCGTAAACAAAAAAGAGAGTGAGTGAGAGGCAGAGATAAAACGTTCTTTGCAGCGCCACACCTATTAGCATCATTAGGGGACAAAACGGTGATCCAATCTCCGACCCCCAGGAACAGGTTTTGCAGATTTGCTGAGCACTTCTGTGAGGTCCTGTGGTGAGGGCTAATCCCTCCACAGGGAAAACATCGTGGCACAAAGTGGGGATGACCCCGCTGAGGCTGCCGTGCCTCAAATATTGGAAGAAGAAGTCACCCCCTGTGAGTGGCTGGCTGAGGTGCCATCTGTTGAGGAAGTACTGAAGGAGATCCAGAGTCTGAGACACAAGGAAAGGCACCGGGCAGAGATGATCTCCCTGCAGTCAACCCACGGCACCTGCAGGGTTTGTCCCGTGACCTCCTCCTGCACCTAGCCTGGTACAGCAGTCAATCCACCGCACCTGCAGGGTCTGCCCCTTGACCTCCTCCTCCTGCACCTAGCCTGGTACAGCAGTCAACCCATGGCATCTGCTGGGTCTGCCCCTTAACCTCCTCCTCCTGCACCTAGCCTGGCACAGCAGTCAACCCACGGCACCTGCTGGATCTGTCCCGTGACCTCCTCCTGCACCTAGCCTGGCACAGCAGTCAACCCATGGCACCTGCAGGGTCTGTCCCGTGACCTCCTCCTGCACCTAGCCTGGCACAGCAGTCAACCCATGGCACCTGCAGGGTCTGTCCCGTGACCTCCTCCTGCACCTAGCCTGGCACAGCAGTCAACCCATGGCACCTGCAGGGTCTGTTCCGTGACCTCCTCCTGCACCTAGCCTGGTACAGCAGTCAACCCATGGCACCTGCTGGGTCTGTCCCGTGACCTCCTCCTCCTGCACCTAGCCTGGCACAGCAGTCAACCCCTGCTGGGTCTGTCCTGTGACCTCCTCCTCCTGCACCTAGCCTGGCACAGCAGTCAACCCACGGCACCTGCTGGGTCTGTCCCGTGACCTCCTCCTGCACCTAGCCTGGCACAGCAGTCAACCCACGGCACCTGCTGGGTCTGTCCCGTGACCTCCTCCTCCTGCACCTAGCCTGGCACCGTAGTCAACCCCTGCTGGGTCTGTCCCGTGACCTCCTCCTCTTGCACCTAGCCTGGCACCGTAGTCAACCCCTGCTGGGTCTGTCCCGTGACCTCCTCCTCCTGCACCTAGCCTGGCACAGCAGTCAACCCGCGTCCCGTCGTCACGCGTCACCCCCCACCCTGTCACCCCCCCCCACTCACCCCCCCCCCTGTCACCCCCCCCCCTGTCACCCCCCCCTCTGTCACCCCCCCCCCCCTGTCACCCCCCCCTCCTGTTACCCCCCCTGTCACCCCCCCCTCTGTCACCCCCCCCCCTGTCACCCCCCCCTCCTGTCACCCCCCCTGTCACCCCCCCCCTCTGTCACCCCCCCCCCTGTCACCCCCTCCTCCTGTCACCCCCCCCCCTCTGTCACCCCCCCCCCCCCCAGACATCACGGCAGGCCGAGGGAATGGAGGCACCTCCATCTACGGACCCACGTTTGAGGGTGAGGCAGAGTTCGCAAACGGGTTTTGATTCCTTACCCGTACCCGTACCTGGCAAGGTACGGGTAGCCGGGTATCGGGTAGGGTACGGGTATCAGGTAGGGTACGGGTACCGGGTAGGGTACTGGTATCGGGTAGGGTACTGGTATCGGGTAGGGTACGGGTATCGGGTAGGGTACGGGTATCAGGTAGGGTACGGGCATCGGGTACGGTACGGGTATCGGGTAGGGTACGGGTATCGGGTAGGGTACGGGCATCGGGTAGGGTACGGGCATCGGGTAGGGTACGGGCATCGGGTAGGGTACGGGTATCGGGTAGGGTACGGGTATCGGGTAGGGTACGGGTATCGGGTAGGGTACGGGCATCGGGTAGGGTACGGGTATCGGGTAGGGTACGGGTATCGGGTAGGGTACGGGTATCGGGTAGGGTACGGGCATCGGGTAGGGTACGGGCATCGGGTAGGGTACGGGCATCGGGTAGGGTACGGGCATCGGGTAGGGTACGGGCATCGGGTAGGGTACGGGTATCGGGTAGGGTACGGGTATAGGGTAGGGTACGGGTATCGGGTAGGGTACGGGTATCGGGTAGGGTACGGGTATCGGGTAGGGTACGGGTATCGGGTAGGGTATGGGTATCGGGTAGGGTACGGGTATCGGGTAGGGTACGGGTATCGGGTAGGGTATGGGTATCAGGTAGGGTACGGGTATCGGGTAGGGTACTGGTATCGGGTAGGGTACGGGTATCGGGTAGGGTACGGGCATCGGGTAGGGTACGGGTATCGGGTAGGGTACGGGTATCGAGTAGGGTACGGGTATCGGGTAGGGTACGGGTATCGGGTAGGGTACGGGTATCGGGTAGGGTACTGGTATCGGGTAGGGTACGGGCATCGGGTAGGGTACTGGTATCGGGTAGGGTACGGGTATCGGGTAGGGTAAGGGTATAGTGTAGGGTACGGGTATCGGGTAGGGTACTGGTATCGGGTAGGGTACGGGTATCGGGTAGGGTACTGGTATCGGGTAGGGTACGGGCATCGGGTAGGGTACTGGTATCGGGTAGGGTACGGGTATCGGGTAGGGTAAGGGTATAGTGTAGGGTACGGGTATCGGGTAGGGTACGGGTTTCGGGTAGGTTACGAGTATCGGGTAGGGTACGGGTATATATAGTATAGTGTATAGTATAGTGTATAGTGTAGTGTATAGTGTAGTGTGTAGTTATAGTGTCGTGTGTAGTGTAGTGTGTAGTGTAGTGTATAGTGTGTAGTGTATAGTGTAGTGTATAGTGTGTAGTGTAGTGTATAGTGTAGTGTATAGTGTAGTGTATAGTGTGTAGTGTAGTGTATAGTGTAGTGTATAGTGTAGTGTGTAGTGTAGTGTATAGTGTAGTGTGTAGTATAGTGTAGTGTATAGTGTAGTATATAGTGTAGTGTGTAGTATAGTGTAGTGTATAGTGTAGTGTATAGTGTAGTGTATAGTGTAGTGTATAGCGTAGTGTATAGTGTAGTGTATAGTATAGTGTATAGTGTGTAGTGTATATTGTAGTGTATAGTGTAGTGTATAGTGTATAGTGTAGTGTATAGTGTAGTGTAGTGTATAGTGTAGTATAGTGTAGTGTATAGTGTAGTGTAGTGTATAGTGTAGTGTAGTGTATAGTGTAGTGTATAGTGTAGTGTATAGTGTAGTGTATAGTGTAGTGTATATTGTAGTGTATCGTGTAGTGTAGTGTATAGTGTAGTGTATAGTGTAGTGTATAGTGTAGTGTATATTGTAGTATAGTGTAGTGTATCGTGTAGTGTCCAACTACTACATTCATTATTCAATGTAGATTTATCTAAGACGTATGAACGGTTAAAATCATAACTCTCACGTTCTCAGGGTTAGTAGGAAATCTTTCATCGTATTAAAGGCAACTTACGACACTTACGACTACACTAGAACATCATAACACGTCCTGTACTCTGGTTCCTGCTTCTTTGTAGATGAGCGTTAAGATTTATTTAAACTTTACATTTTCCCGAAATCGTAACTCTCTCTTGCGTACTCGGAGTTACGAGAAATGTTATCGTAGAAACCGACTTATGACGTTACTACGACATTGTAACACGTTCTGTACTCTGGCTCCTACTTTTTTGTAGACTAGTGTAAAGATTTATCTCGACTTTACGAATGCCCAAAATCGTAACTATTATGTACTCAGAGTTACGTGAAAATCTTACATCCTATAAACTCGAGTTACGACATCGCTACGACGTTGCAAATGGCTCCCCCCCCCCACCACACCCCCCACCACCCCCCACCTACCCCCTCACCACCACCCCACCACCCCCCCCACCACCACCCCACCTACCCCTTCACCACTCCCCCCCCCCCCACCACCAACCCCACCACTACCCCACTACAACCCCCACCACCCCCCCACCACCCCCCCCACCACCCCCCTCACCCCCCTCACCCCCCCACCCCCCCCACCACCACCCCCCTCCCCCACCACCTCACCACCACCACCCCCCACCACCCCCACCACCACCCCCCCTCACCCCCCCCACCCCCTCCCCCACCCCACCACCACCCCCCCACCCCCCCACACTCCACCACCCCCACCACCCCCACAACCCCCACCCTCCCACCACCACCACCCCACCCCACCCCACCACCACCTCCCCCACCACCCCCCACCCCCCACCCCCCACCCCTCCCCGTCTAGACGAGAGCTTCGCAGTGAGCCACTCGTGCCGAGGGGTTCTGGGAATGGCGAACTGCGGGCGCCACTCAAACTCGTCGCAGTTCTACGTCACCCTGCAGCCGGCGCCCTGGATGGACCGCCAGTTCGTCGCCTTTGGGTGAGTTGCCTCCGAACCAACAGGCCGACAACAACAACAACAACGACAACAACAACGACAACAACGACAACGACGACAACAACGACAACGACAACAACAACGACAACAACAACAACGACAACAACGACAACGACAACGACGACAACAACGACAACAACAACAACAACAACAACGACAACAACAACAACGACAACAACGACAACACCAACAACGACAACAACAACAACGACAACAACAACAACGACAATAACAACAACGACAACAATGACAACAACGACAACAACAACAATGACAACAACAACAACAATGACAACGACAACGACAACAACGACAACGACAACAACAACGACAACAACAACAACGACAACGTCGCCATCGACAACACACAGCCGCCAGTCGCCATTTTGAAGTTGCCATTTTTGCAGTTGCCACGGCGACTGCAAAAATGGCCGG